ATCCCATTATCCTCACTTGTTGCACAAGCGATCAACATCCTTTATGTCGCCTTTGCTGTTGTCTCCCTTCTCGTCTATCTCAGACCTATCGTTTCATTCTTGTTGTTTATATCTATTACACAAGTGGCTAGCGTTATTGACCATGAACATCATACGAGAGTTGTTGTCATATCTATGGACTCCATAAAACCCTTGTTGTGCTTGTCCATAACCCTTGTATTAGAAAGGATGGGACGCAAATGTGACGATGGGTCAAGGTCTGTTATGATGACAGTGATAATCCTTGCGCCCCCTTCTTTCTCGCACAAGAGCTATGAGTGAGAATGACGAGAGTCGTATCACTTATGTGGCCCCTCCTTCCTTGTGCCAGGGTGAGGCAAGTCCGACGGGGGTCGATAAGATTTATAGAGGTGACGATTGATTCGACGGGACAAAGGGGAGGAGAAGTGATGTAGGGCAAAGGCGGAGGCGAGTTCGACCAACCAAGAATAAAATTATTTTTTCACACGATAAAGGATGTTCTACGAGAAATTTTAAAAAATTAAGATATTCTACGAGAATTTTTTAAAAATAATTTTATTTTTGAGAATTCAAGAATCTTTCCTTCATCGGAGAGTTTGAAAACATAAAACTTGTTTAACCTTCTTGGCACAATAAAAGATAAAATTATATAAAATATATTATAGAATCGATAATTCCTCATGATTTAAAGAGTTGGGATTAGTGACAAATTGGATGGACCTTATCAATATTAAAACAAATGATGTAACATTTGTTTCTTTTTGCAAATTATTGTTTTCTTATGCGCATACATAAAACCATCATACATTGACATTCTGTTCAGAAGCCATAAATCAGTGTGTTTAGCACTTTGTAAAGACCTTTCTTGAATAGATTAATTTTCTTTCTCAGAGAAGCTAATGTTTCTTTTTTTTTTTTTTCCTCATCCTTTTTGTAGAGAACTTAAGACTACAAAGTTTGGACATGAATAGTGAAAGTATTCAAAAGCAAATGCTGATAGTTTTGAAAAGCCCTACAGCAGCAGAACAGAAGCAGTTGAAAGAAGAATTTTGGCTTCTTTCCATGACAGAGAAGTCAAGAAATTTTCTTTTTCTTGCTTTACTGTTCATATATAACTTTTTTTTTTCCAGTCACAATCAATTTCTCTGTCAAGTTTACATAGAACAATCATTGATTGTGAGCTTTGCACAGCAGCAAGTAGTGAAAGGACTCCAATAGTAAATGCTGAACAGGAGCAGAGCAGGGGCCATAAAAACTGTACCAGTTAGAAGCAGATGAAAAGGAAAGGAAAAAAAAAGGGTAAGAACCACTGTAGGTAGTCTTTTACTGCCACTGAGCTTTTACTCTGTACCTGTTGTTGTCTTCCTCTGACATCAACCACAATTACCAAGGATCATGGTGTCTGCTATCTGCACTGGGCTCCATGGCTCAGAGCTCAATGCTTCTGACATCCATTTGGTCCTTCCTTCATGAGGCTTAATTTTGGGAGTTGATAAAAAAATAATCTTTTCTATTCCGAATCTCAAACTGAGCCCAAAGTTTTGATTGGAAGAGCAAAGACATCAATCTTCAGATTAACTCCATCGACCAATCCGACACAAAATCTTCTTTTTAGCACAATATTATCTCAAAATCTAAACTTAAGATATCACTCTCCCATTTGCCTCAGCATCAAAATACCTTATTGAACGCAACCCAGCAAATCCAACAAACATTATCCCAAAAACTTCTTCTGCTACAACTTCATCCGAAATTCTCTAGCTGAACTGATGCTTCCGATGAGAACGGTGAAGCCAGCAGCCCACCATCTCCATCGGCATCAAAGTCTTCTTGTCTTACAATATTATCCCAACATCCTAAGCTGGACTGAGACTTAAAGTCGAAAGATGGACTGAAACCTAAATTGAAAACAATAAAGATATCAAGCATTGACATTGATGTCAATATTGTTTTCCAACTTTGCCCGTTTGCTTCTCCAAGCATTGAAGGCCAACACGGCGAAATGAATCTTGTGGATCCCTAAACCTGCTTCGGTTTGTGCATCCTCTTGCAGTGCCGACTCCTCTTTCAAGAAACAAGAATAAAAAAAGAAGCTTTCGATGCACACTTCAATGCTGGGAAGGATCAATTGACAGCCAAGGAATGCAAGAATGACTCAATCATCGATCAGCAACACTACAACATGGCCATCACAGGCTGTGCATGGCCAGGTAGTAGTGAGCTCAATGATTGGAGACTGGGAGGTCCAACCCCTCTTCCTTGCCTCCATCTCTAACAAAGTCCTCACCTTCCTTATTTATAGCTATGAGATATTAGTGTAATTTTCTTATTTATATCTTTATACTTTTATTTAAATGATTTAATCATAAAATATTATTAAAAATAATTAATTATTATAAAATTTAAAAAGTAAAAACTTGTTCTAATAATTTTAAGATGATTAGTATCTTTTTTTTTATATTTTAAATAATTAATTATTGATTTTTTAATAGCATATGTGATCAAATTATTTTAATAAAAGATCGAAGATACTCGATGTTAGGAACGAATATTGAAAACTTCATCCAGTAAAAAGTTAATTGTAGAAATTTTTTTGATAAGATATCCAAATTTCTTGGTGAAATCTAAAATAATTAATGCTGCTTCTTCTTGGCATCAAGATGACTGTTCTTGCCAACCTCCCTTGTCAAAACTGCGGCGCAGTGATGGCGAAGCATCTGAAAGCTACCATGAATTGTCCCCTACAGCTCTCTCTCTCTCTCTCTCTCTCTCTCTCTCTCTGTGTGTTCTGCCAACTCTTCAAAGAAACAAAAGGAGTGCCGTGTTCATCCGGGAG